TGTGGTCTGTGCCTCTGGAGATGCTGCTGGTGATGTTGGTCCCTCTGCTGCAGTGGCTGCTGGTTTGAGTGGACTTGTGAAATACTCTGGCTTCCCTCTACTCTGCCCTCTGTGTCTCTGCCCTTACACAGAGACCCTCCAGGAAATTTCTTCTCTTCACCACCCAGCACGATGGAACCGGACACCTTTGGAGATCTTTGGATGATGCAAAGACCCAAACAGTACTAAAAGGCCCAGAAAACAAGTCCTGCCTTAGAGAGAACATCTCTGGAGCTGGAAAGGAGAAGAGGAGTTCCTTCTGACAGCACTTGGACAGTTGTGTCTTCCAAGGAACTGCCACCAACACACTCCACCCTCCACTTCCACAGGTTTGACTGACTATTCCCCATGATACTTGACATTTTCCATTGCAGAGGAAGATGAAGCAGCAGAGCTGCTCCATCACCATCTGCACAGGGAGGAGAAGGAGAAAGACCCACAGAGAGTCCCCAAAGGGAAGCTGGTTGGAGCTGGGGCTTTGCATCAGCCTGGAGGGAAGGGGGACAGGGCTTGTGGCATTGCCAGCACACACTGGAGATTTCCATGTCCTGGCCCATGGCCAGTGCTTGGAGAAAGGGGTTCTGTCACCAGCACAAAGCACAGCTTAGCTGGCAACGGGGAATGAACAAAAGTTCTCAAAAAGTTCACGAGGACTTAGCTTTTCCATTGGAAAGGAAAAAAAAAAGAGAAAAAAAAGAAAAAAGATCAAGAGAGAGATTTCCTGGAAATGAACTGACTTACTGAACATTCCCTTTGGAGTTTGCCTCCACCCCTCTCCCTTCCCCTGCCCGGAGCTGAAGGGCCGCAGGAGGAAAACCATCCCCAGCAGCTGCGGTTGCTCTACCTGCTCTGGGATTGCAGGGGCTGACAGCATCACCTCCAGCACAGAAGCAGCCCCAGAACTGCTCTGCCAGCCGGGTTATTGCCCTTGTTTGGCAGCACAGCACGAGCCCCCCGTGCCCTTTGCCACTGAACCCGGAGCAGAGCGGCTGTGCCAGAGGGTGTGTCCATCATCCAGCAAGGAGTGGGTGAGGCAGCTCCTGCTGCAGATGCCACATGTTCCCCACAGTAACTCAGGCAATAACTTGATCTTATTAACAGGAAGATTCTTATTTAACAGATGGAATAATGCCCCCTTTATGCAGCAAAGCGATGAAGAGCACAAAGGGCCATTCACCAGCTGCCTCCAGCTCTGATCCCCAGGCACCACATCCCAAACAGGCATCCCGACAGCAAGGAGCAGCCCAAACCTTTCAGGTTACTGAGAAAAACAAGGCCAGGTGGTAGTTTTTGAGTGCTGCAGACCAGGGGAGCAAGGCACGTGCGTGCTCAAGGTTTGGGAGCTTGGGGACAGTGTGTCACCCCAAGATTTGGGGAGCAAAGCGGTGTTTGAAGTTGAAGGATGGTCCCTAGGACTGGGCAGGAATGGCTTTCCAGGTCTCCTCAAAGCTGTGATAGAGATGGACATTGTCTAGTTCAAAGGCTAAATAAGCAACTCCCCTTTAAATGCAAGTAAGCAAAACCAGCAAAAAGTGGTATTTCTGAGAATTCCAAGGAACTTCACAGAAAGCGGTGACACAACTTCTGTGAGACAAACTTCTGCAGGGTGGGGAGAGGGTAAAGCTGAGAGATGCCAAGCAAAGGGCTGGTGTCCTGCAGAGGAAGCCCAGAGCAGGGCTGTGAGATGGTGTCCTGCCTGCAGACACCCTGTGGGGTGAAGGAAACATCCCCCAGCCCTGAGCAGCTCCTCACAGCCCCTCCTGTACCCCCTTCCCAGCAGCAGTGCCACGGCCACGGGTGCCTCCTCTGGGCAGGCACTTCCAGATCTTGGAGCTTGGCTGGACAAAAAAACATCCTTTTTTTTCAGAGCAATCCAGAGGGGAAAAAAAAAACAAACCAGGAAGACAGGACCAGCATCAAAGAGAAAGTTATTTGTGTGTGTTCTGGAAGGAAAGGCACCATGAATATGGAGTGTCCCCTGCCAGGATGGCAACGAGTATCTCCAGCCAGGCTTCAAGAGGCTTCATCACAGTGCACACAGCTCCACTGGCCATGCATGGCTGTCCCAGAGCAGAGCCAAATGTTCTTCAAGCAGAAGAAATGAGGCAAGGCAGATGCTGGCAACCTCGACAGCACAGGAACCCAACTCTCTTTTTTCATTCGCTCGAGACAAAAGAGGAAGTCAGAGTTGGATCCCATCTCCACGTGTGGAGGGGTGAGCAGGGTGTATCAGCTCCTCAAGTGGGACCCAGCACAGCACTGGAGCACCAGGGTGTTGTAACAAGCATCTCCCAGCATTTAATTTTTAAGGTGTTCCAGCCTGAATTACTGGAGAGGAGATTTTCCTTCTCTTGCACTGGTACTTCCTGATTCAACTCAGCACCTCAGGACCCTTTTGAGACTTTTCAGCTCAAAATATTCTCCTCAGCAGCAGATGGATAAAATATCAGGCAGAAGACGATGTGTGGCTGTGACAGCAGCCAAACCCAACAAAATATTTGCTTCAAAGCAGGAAGAGGGATAGCGTGTCCAGCTGGAAAAAAGCAGGAAATGGTTTTTAAAAGAGTGAAAGAAGGGGATAGAGAAGGAGATGGTTGTGTAAGACATGATGTTTCAATTAGAGCAGGCCTGAATGATAACAGAAGTTCATGAACTCGTGTTCTAGGCAAAAGGGAGGTGTTTGATTCATTCCTGTGCATCTTCATCCTGGCACAGGCATCACATGGTGTTTTATGGACAGGTAAATGGATGCAGCTATAGGAAATTATAATGCCTATAAACAGCCAGCCCTTGGAGCCTGGACCTTGCTTTGGGCAACTTCTTTCATTCTGTCTATCTATCTATCTATCTATCTATCTATCTATCTATCCATCCATCCATCTATCTATCCCTCTATCTATCTATCT